TCATCATTAAAAATAGAGTAAAACTCTTCACCACACCAACCTCTATGACAAACAAGAAAAATATACATAAACCAGACATCCATCTTACACATCTTGGTTGGACAAGTAAACAATGTATTCAATAGCAGGTTCAGCATTCTCACTATGACCTTTCATGTGTTTGTAGAGGGCAGACTTCATGGTGAATGTCTTGTTGCATGTTTCACATTCGTACAAACTACTGCCGAACTGTTGTTGCTGTTGTTGTTGTTGCTGAAGTTGCTGAGGTTGGTTCTGCTGCTGATGTTGTTGTTCCTCGAATTTGTGAGTCGCCAGGTGTGATCTCAAACTTGAGAAATGAAGGAATGACTACAGGCAGGGAAAATTTTATGTAAATTAAATTAAATGATTAATCATTTATTTATCAATCAACAAGTAACTCATCCCTAAATCGACTTATCATTCTACGTACAATGAATCAAAAGAAACATTCGCTCAATTTTCCCAACAAGCCAGCCAGCCCCTTGCTCACTGAACCGACCTTATTACAATCAGGGCAGACATAATTTCTTTCCCTGGTATGGATGACCATGTGCCTCTTTAGGGCACTGGTGTCCACAAACTTCTTATCGCAGTAATTGCAAGGGAAGGGCTTGTCCCCTGTGTGCAGACTGAGGTGCTTGTTTAGGTTGCCCAACTGGGCAAACTCTCGGCCGCACTGACCACAGCAGAAGGGCAGACGTTCTTGATGCAAGATCGAATGGACCTGTAATGTAGTGGTTTTTTAGTAGTCGCGAGTTCAAGTTGAGTGAAAAAATTTTTTAAATACATTTTTCATAATAAATCATTTCAATCAATTTCATCTAAACATATAAAAAAATATCAGATTTGGTAAATTTTCTATATAAAAAGGATATATATCTCTGCATGCGAGTGCGTGTTTATTCGATTATGATAAAGAAGAAGCTGATTAAGATAATGGAGAGGGAGAATGATGAAGATGACAGTGAAGATGATTATGAATTGTAGAAATAACGAAAATAGTGATAATTACATAGATGACAATAATGGAAAGAATTCTAACTTTTGATCCATGTGGTTTTAAATTTAAGATAGATGATGAAAATAACCAATGCCTCTGAGTTGAAAGTGGATAAAAAAAAACAAGGCGGCTCGTAAGACAAGCTACCAAATAACTAATTTGAATTAATAGCTGATAATGAATAAGAAACGATCAAGGTGTCTCCAAAAAATGTACAGACTTCTAACTACAAATTGCATTGTAATTGCAATAACTGGCGTTTCACGTGTTACGAGAATTTTATGCGCAGGCGCACAGCGCTTCATTACGCAAAGGTGTGTCTGTCTATACGTAAAACTGTGCATTCGTTAGACGTTTAGGAGCGCCTTCATTCAATAGTGGAAAAATACGGCGAAGGACTGTAATTGAAATGAGAAATATTATCAAATAAATTTTACAAAGTGCTTACTGAAACGGCACCGAGCTGAAAAATCATTCTTACAAGTATAACTGGTATAAAATTTATAGCATTCGCTAAAGTAGTATAGGTCTTACAATTAGGAAGGGGTGCACAGCCTGAGACAGCAGGTATGGTGCGCCATCAATATTGGATATTAAAAAAAATGAAATTATTGAAATTCATATTTAGCCGATTTTAATTATTTTATTTGTTGTAATATATCATGAAATGAAAACATTCAGTAATTATTTATGGATCATTTAGTGATTAGGAATAACTAGAAGAAATGGATATCTTGAATAAACAACACAAAGTACAGTTGGCCTTGTTTTTATTCTTTATAGTGCAACTCTCAAAAGCAGAACTGCTTACATGTTATTAAATACCTATAATTAAACCTTCGTACCACGAAGGCCGTACAACTATCCACACAACATGACGCACGTACACATTATGTATGCACGCGCAAGCACCGAATCATACGGGTATGATGATCTTTGAGTTTCAGAAAGGACAGTATTCCAACTATGCAATCACGTAATAGCAGCGCGAGACAGAACACTCCTACTGACTGAGCTAACTTGAAGACAAAGCTATAATGCTTTGTGAAAATTCAAGTCAATTCAATAATAACCAATAATAATAAATAATAAATTCAAGTTGAGCAATTATAATAATAACCAATAATAATAAATTCAAGTTGAGCAATTATAATAATAACTAATAATAATAAATTGCAAAACTTTTTAATTTTTAAAAAGTATATTATATAGAACAAAAATATTATCGAATTTAACTTCGGTGCATGAAACAGGAAATGTCGCGCTATATATATTTAGTGTCTTCGGAGGTAATAATATAATCAATGCGGTAAATTTTTTGCAAATTTGAATCGAAAATCGTTAAATTATATCTTTCAATGAACGTTTATTTTGAAGATTTGTAGATAACTGAGATAAACTATCGTGGCCTAATGTTTGGAAAACAAAAATATAATTATATTCGCCACTCTCGAGCTTCGAAACTGAAAATTAACGTCTACTATTCTCGCTTGTCTGAAGTAGTCAAGGAAGTTCATCATCGACACGAAAGGTTAGTTGATTCACCATTTTTGATCAAATTCCTGGATGTTCGTTCTCATGAAATGATTTTATATCGAATTTCAGGCTGAAATTCTTGTAAAAAAATGTTTTTGCGCGAGTCGATCGACCAGAAAGCATTAAGGCAAGAGACAAGGTCACATCGTCATCGTTGAACTGCAGGTCACCACCTACAACCCTACCATTTTAAAATGTGTTTGACGGGCCAATCCACGCCTTTAGGGACATTAATTCGCGATGGTGTCTCCATCAATGTCTGAGCAAGAACTACTGAGTAGGAACTGAGTGAAAGCTCAGTTCCTTCTTGCTCACTAGATTTTCAGAACTTTATGCAGCATTTTAACACAAAACCTTTTGTATATATATATTTGTATATGTATACACACATATTTGTATATGTGTGTATATATAATATATATATTGTATATGTGCATAAATATAAAATATAAATTAAGACTATTAGTTATTTTTTAATCGACTTTTGGATTGCATTGTATCATATTATGTTGTATACCTGATTTGTATCGTATGAGTATGAATCAACGAAATATTTTGGTTTAATCATTATTTTGTATTATCTGAGGTTAATCATTAGTCGAACAACAAATTTTGACATTAACTCAGACCACATACAAACTTACAAATACAAGCCTTACATCCACACTGTACAAACCTGCAATCCATTCTTGCTGATAAAACTCTTTCCACAAGTTTCACAAGTGAATGGACTGTCATGAGTATGCAGTCGCAGATGGCCCATATAGCTATGCTTCACAAAAAAACTTCTCTGACAGTGCGGGCACTGGAAGGGTCTGACTCCTGTATGCTTCATCTGATGCTTCTGAAGATTCGACTTGTGCTGGAATGACTTGCCACATGTTTGGCATACCTGTTAGAATGTATTTGCTGATATCAAGCAATTTTGATTAGTCGACAGTCTCAACATAAAATCTTATTGTACCATTGAACAATTCATCGAAGAGACCAACCTCAGGCTTTTCCCCTGTGTGGGATCTGTAATGTATTTCCAGATGCTTTGAGCTCTCACAAACTCTTCCACAGATTCGACAGGCATGATCAATCTTGAACGAAGCTGGATCTCTCTTGCCACAGACACACTCAATTGTCCGGCATTTGCATGTGTTGACATGAACAACCTGTTTGTTTCGTAGTAAAAATATATTGAAAACCATAACTAGAAAAATTTTATTAATGGAATAAAACTTTTTTATCATAAAATTTCAGTTCAATTTGAACAAAACTGGCGATCTTATTTTTAACACTGTTGATTTAGTTGGAATAATCTCTCTAGTTAATAAGAAGCAATTCCGAATTTTAAAAAACTTGAAAATAGAATTAAAGGAGATTAAAAACAGATTAAAGCTGATAGGTGTCAGCTTTAACATGTTTTTCATTTAAATCATTTTATCAGTGGCTAGCATAATTTTTCATGATATCAACATTTTCCCTCTGATTCAATTTTATTTTTAATTGGAATAAACAAATAAGCAACAGCAAATCAAAGAATTTTCATCTTTGTTCTGCTCTGTATCGATACTATATATATTCAACTGTATCGTAGCTGTAACTTGTTTTTTACTGATTAATTTTGAACTTGAATATTTGTATCGAGACTATTTCTACAGTTTTCAACATTTTATACTTTATCACTATATTGTAATAATTTCTTTAAGAATTTTTTCCCTTTAGTTCAACTAACTCCAATAATTCTGTTACTACAATCCTTGATTTTAAATGAAAATTGGTATTTTTTGCTACCGGAATATATCTCAGGATCTGAATAATTCATTTATCAATTACAACATATTTTGCAACATATGTCCAAATAACAGAATATTGGTTTTTACATTTATTCCATATTTGATTGGTTACACAAACTTACCTTTGTTTTGACTTTGTAAATTTCAATTCGAATGAGTCTGTACTTTTTAAAATGTTAACTTTACTGCCAGCAATCAAAAAATTAACGAAGCATTTACAATTGTACGCTTAAAATGTTAACTTTACTGCCAGCAATCAAAAAAATTAACGAAGCATTTACAATTGTACGCTTAAAATGTTAACTTTACTGCCAGCAATCAAAAAATTAACGAAGCATTTACAATTGTAGGTTTGATTTAAAAAAAAAACGTATTTATAAAAACGTGAAACTTTGAAAATTTTTCATAAACAATTATTTTGAAGTTAGAAGATTCCATCAAAAACTCTTTTCTACAAGTTGTGTAGGATTCATAGAATTATAAAAATTGCATCCTTGCCGTCAAACAGAACAAAAGATTCGTGATTCGTTATTTTAATGCAGTATCGAAATTTTCAAATTCGATAAAGATGTATCTGAAAAGAGTGAATTTCTCAAAAATTGTCTGTAAATACAGTCGGATTTTCGTACAATGAATTTGATGGTTCCAAAAAAATTTGCTATATAGAAATTTTCCACAGAATTTTTTCGAGAAAAAGTTCTATATTATATAGGCTGGATATTGCCCCACCTGGTTTTTCTGTGGCACATTATCATAGGCCTGATCGGCGTGGTGGTGGCATCTCTGTTGTATACCGGGCGACATTTCGACATTCAGCGCTAGATTTTGGTATTTTCATAACGTTCGAGCTGCTTGTCACCAAGCTCGTGTGCCCTGAGTCGGCTATTATTCTCGTCGTTCTTTATCGCCCTCCTGGTCCGGCTGTTGATTCGTTTTTTGAGGAACTGGAGACTTTAATAAATTACTTACATTCATCTTCATCTTCCTTTATAATTTGTGGCGATTTCAACTGTCCTGGTAGCGAGCGTCTCTCCTCCCTTCTGGAAGAAAATAACTTATCTCAACACGTAAGCTTTCCAACACACCGGTGTGGTAATACTCTTGATCTAATCATCACCTCGACTTTGTTTTCCGATAGCATAAAAGAAGTGAGATCATCCATCAGATGTCACCTACTCTATGACCATAAAATCATTCTTGTGGACATATGTACATTCAGTACCCGCCCCTAATCGAAACTCGTACATATAAGTCTAGACATCGCATTAACCTAAACAGATTTCAATCTGACTTAATGGCTGTTGTCGATTCTCTGCTTTCTGATTAGATCTTACCTGAGCTGCAGACAGCAGTTTGTGAAGCTGGGAAACCATACTTCCTCTACCTGCTTGATCGACACTGGAGTCCCTCAAGGTTCCGTCCTCAGTCCAATCTTGTTCAATACCTATGTGTCTCCTGTTAGCGACATTTCTAGTAAAAATGGATTATTTTCTCATCACTACGCCGATGACACTCATCTGCATACATTTGTTACTTCTGGCGATCTTGAAAGCAGCATTCGAGTCTTAAGCAATTGTACTAGCGAGGTTTATCAGTGGTATGCTAATAATTTTCTTCTCAACCCGAACAAATCTGAAATTATGGTCATTGGGACACATCAACAACTGTCGAGGTTTCAGCTCGAGGAAATGGACATAGCAGGGTCCACAATGCCTATCTCGGATGCGATCAAGTTGCTTGGGTTCACTTTTGACAGACATCTAAATTTTGATAAACACATATCAGAAATCGTCAGATCCTGCAACTATCACCTCTGCGCAATAAGACATATTAGACATATGATTACATGTGATGTTGTTGCTGCCTTTTGCAGATGTTTGATCCTTTCTAGATTAGACTACTGCAACTCCTTATTGTATGGGGCCTCACGTGCATCTGTCAGAAAGCTACAGACTATCAAAATAAAACTTCTAGACTTATATTTAATAAACCTCCTCGTTTTAGTTCTTCCATTCTCTTTCCAATGCTTCATTGGCTTCCAATTTCCGCTCGAATCATCTTCAAAATTGCAGTCCTTACCTCAACATATCTATACGACCTCATATCCAGACATGAACATACTAGATCACTCTGCAACAGCTCAACAGGTTTCCTAAACATTCCCGTTGCCGGACCCCGCCTGGCTGGCCGCGGTTTTTGTCACGCTGCTCCGTATGTCTGGAATGCGTTACCTCCTCAGTTAAGACAATGTTCCTCGTTGAGTCTTTTCAAAAAGTGATTAAAGACTCATCTTTTTAACACGGGCTCCGGGCGCCTCTGAAGCAGCTGTGCAAATGGGCGTTTCATAAATGTTTATATTATTAATATATGTATATGGCAAAAAACATAATGCGTAAAACAGTAATGCCAAAATGTAACTTACAATTTACAATGTTCAACAATTATTCTTTAAAAACTTTCGAATATTTTTTCAACTTTTATAAATTATTTTCGTCCTATAGAAACAATTTTATATGAAAATACCCAAGAGACAAAAAAAATAAAAATTCGTTAGAGATTTCCGTAGTATAGAATTCGTTATAAGAAAGTCCGACTTTTATTTCATTCAGCCTTAAAAACACAAATTATAGTTAAAAGATAAAAAAGAAAAAAAAAGCATCAGCCGAACCTTAACATGCTTCTGTAGATTAGAAGCATGTTTGAACCTTCGACCGCAGAACTGACACGAATACCTCCTCTCAGCACCGTGTGTCAGTGCATGGAGTTTCAAACCACACGCAAACGCAAATGTCTTGTTACAAGCTCCACACACGTAAGCCTTCAAACTTCCGTGTTCAGTCTTGGCGTGCTTCTTTAGGAGTGCCAACCTGCTAAACTTTGAACCACATTCTCTGCATGTGTGCTGTCTAGTAGATGCCTGCTGTTGCTTGGATGGGGTGGTTGGCACTGAATTGTTTTCAGTCTCCTCACCACAGCTATCATCATCTGTCGTTAATTAATTACTTATTATTATTATTGTTATAAGTTATTATTGTTATTATTATTATTGTTATAAGTATAGTTTCTAGCAAATGTTTGTTAGGAAGATCATAGAAATAATCAGTCGAAAACTTTTTAAAACAATATCTTATGCTATAGACTAAAAAAAGTTAATGAATTTTTTCCGATTTTTTTCGTTTAAACAAATATCTAAACCTTTAAATAAACATATAAACCTTGTTGAATTTGATATAACAAATTAAAGCGTTTATTTTTTAAATTCAAAAGACAACAAAAAAATTTTTTAATAAAAATGTCTTCCTTTCCAAATAAACAATTAGACATTCACCTGAATATCTTTCAGTAGAATTTCTACTCTTAGAGGCTGCAGGTTTTTCAATTCCACCGTGTTTTTCCACGTGTATTTTCAAAGTCTCACAGTCATTGAATGCCTTGTCGCAGAGTCCACAGACATATATCTTCCCATCTTTCACCTCGTTCACAAACTGATTTCGTTGGTTAGTCAGCAGACTAACATGAGAAACGTTGTTACTGTTGCTGTTATTGTTGATGATGTTGTTATTACTAGATTGTAGGACCTGTATTATGTAAGGTTCGTTAGCTGAATTTTTTAGATTTTTTCTATCTTCTAATTCAGTCTCCACCTCAACTTCGTTGGTTACTTGAATCATTTCTGCATCTTGCTGCAACACAATTTGCCTCGCCCTGTTTCTGTTAAGATTAATTGGGTTGCTGTGGTTGGTGCTATTAGAAAAAACAACGTTCTTGTTGTTCATGTTATAAACATCTTTCAACAACACTGGCGTTGCTCCGATGCCGGATTTGTTAGCATTGACGGTGTGGTTTATCTTGTTGCTGCCCGCGTTGTTGTTATTCATTGCTAGTGGGTAGTGAATCTCTTGTTTGTTTTGATAGACAACAATACTGCTGCGAGACTTGTCTGAGTCTATTCGCATCCTGTTAAACGGTTGAAAAAATTGTTAATAACAAAAAACAAAACCACAGTAGAGTTTCAAACTAGCAAAATTTCTGGCATTTTGGAAAGCTATAGGGTAAAGATGAACGAAACAAACGTTAAAAGTTGTTCACAAATCCCTTAGAAATTTTTTAAAAATTAATAATAATAATAATAATACTAACAAATAATAACCAAGGTTCATAATTAGGGTAATTTTCAATCTAGTTTTCACCATTTAAAAAAAATTAATTCAGCAATTTAAGCTATATTTTGTTTAGATCATTTTAAATTCTGCTATGACGAAACTCTACTATGTAAACTTTCTGACTGATACAATGAATGTAAAATTAAATTAAGTCTGTTTTAAATAAAATTGAAAAAAATAGTAAAAACTATGAGTGAACGATTCAATTTGTAAACTAATCAATCAACTTGTAAATAATTTAACCATTAAATCAACCAATCTATAAATCAAATAATCAATCAATCATTCAACCCTTAAACAGTTCATAAGTTAGTTGCTGAATGAACTGAAACAAAATTGAAATAAGTGACCAGGACCTGCTAGTGCTGCTGCTCAATTCATTGGTAGATCTGACGGCATTAGCACTCGAAAGACGAGAGGTCCTCCTCTTCTCCCCAGCTGCAATGGACAGCGGGGTCAGACCGGCCGACCCGTCTTGAAGTTCTTCAAGATTGACAGTTTCCAACTTAACTTTCGAGTTGGATACAGCGACGGGGGTCGTGATCATTGCAGAAAGATTGGCACCATCTGTGTCCTTTCCGGTAACAATTCGTTTGTTCAACGACTGCAAAAACGATATCTTCGAGGAGAGATTCAGCTGAGTCAAGTTGGGAGTCACCGGCGTCGTTGTTAGAATAACTTGCTGCTGTTGCTGTGGATGCTGTTGTAGAGGCTGAAGTTGAAGTTGTTGCTGCGGCAGCACTTGCTGCTTTTCAAGCAGCTGTTGCTTCAAAGGCAGCTTGCTTTGATCTTCTGATTCTTGCTTAGTGACAAAAGAGTTATTGATGATAATACTCCTCTGGTTTTCGGGATCAATGTTAGAAGTTGTTGTGGGTTGGAATGAAGAAACACTAGTACTGACGATATTCTTTTGTGACAACTCAGATTCACTTTTCAACTCATCACTCGTAACATCGTCACTTAGATCAGGCTTGCAGGATCGCAGTATGCTGACCATTTTGACGTTGTTCTTGTCCACCTCCTCCATGTCTCCCTGACTCATGCCCAGTAGAGACTTGGCTGCTTGAACTGTTTCCATGCTGGATGCTATTTCAGCTGCAAGGCATAGATTGTAAACTGACTGGTTGTTATTGTTGTTGTTATTATTATTGCTGTTGGAACCTGAAGCCACATCTTTGTCATTTGATATAGAACTGTTGCTGCATGGTCCGGAGCTTAATTTCCGACGTTTTGATTGTTTTCTGACACTTTCTGAAGTGGCAGTACTGGCAATCATATTCACCTCCTTCCACAAGCCATCTTGATGTTTGTCAGCAACGTTAGCACCATTGGAACCCGACACCACTTCCTCTATCACTTCAAAAGCGCAAACATCATCACCCTCTCCATCATAGAAGCTCTGACATTGAGAAGAAGAAACCTCCATTGCAACCTCCGTCGCATAACCTTTCTCAGTGCAGGCCACAAAATCATCGGACTCATTGGGACCCAAGATAATGCTTCCTACAGGTATCTTAATATTTTTATCTGACTGGACATTAGTCTCAATCTTCTCAACCGCTTGGAGTGATGATGTTAGAGAATCTGTAAGCGATATAGATGGCACACTCGTCACATTCGACGTGTCCGTCATGGTAAGTGTTGTTATAATAGAAGGAATAGAAATAGTAGCAGCCGATGAAGCCACCACTGCTGCCACTGAATTGCTTTCAACATCAGTTTCAACAGAGGAATTTTGACCTGTTATCATTGCTTGTTGGGGTATTGTCATCGAAGGATTGCTTGGTGGAGGTTTGTCTCCATCAGGCTGGATAAAATGAATATAAATAAATAAAATTAATAAGGAGGTGAAAAAAAGAAAATAACTTAAAAACTATGTTGAATGAAAAAAAATGAGAATAATAGTTCAGTTAAATGTTAATCAATTGCGTAAATAAGTAAGTTACCAATAATTAGTTATAATTTACTGAAGTAATAATTATTTAATTATAATTGTTAATTGATAAGAAGTTCTTTCTTTATAAAAATAACTTGATGTTGTTTGATAATAATTGGAAAAAGATTTAATGAATTTGCTAATTTTATAAAAATTGTAGATGTAGATGGCATGTAAATGCAATCTGATGAAAATTTAATCAAATAAATTTAATTAATAAATTTAAATTTATAAATTTTTTCTAATTCTAAAACTAATTAAAAAGAATCAAGAATATAGGAAAATATATTATCAAGAAGTTAATTAAATGTTCCTAATCTCAAATTAGTCAAACTTTTTAATCAATCAGTAGATTAAACTTTAAAAAATTTCTTCAAAATTAGCTCACTCAGAATGAGCTGGTTCGCTACACAATATAACTGCAATTTTTTCAACCCTTTATCATCAAACTATCACTCACTAATAATTCTATTAATTCAAATTTTTTAATTTCAATTCTACTTTTTTAAAATGAACATAACTTTATTTTAAAACTATGACCAGCTTCCTTTAACTTACCAACTTACTAGCATACACAGTCAGACCCCTGAACAGCGGACTTGATGGTTAAGTTAACAAGTTTGTTATATAGAAATTTCCTTAGGTAGAATTTGTATGAGAAAAAAGAATTCTATATTACTTAAATTGATAAGTGTTTCTTAACAATTAGTGTAATTGTAGTAAAAAACAACCTCATAGTCTTTTATTTTTTCTAACAAAAAGTAATAACACATAGTATAACACTATAAAACTGCCAAAAAAATATGAAAAATAATATATTATATGTATGAATCAAGCAAAAAATGTAATACACAAAACTGTAATGTAAAAATTTAACCCATTTTTTTCCTTCAAACATATTATTTTAGCTTTTATAAATTTTGTGTTCATTATAGAGAAATTATTTTCACTCTATAGAACATGTTTTAAATGTAAAATTCTAAGGAACCTAGTATATGGAAATTTTGTTGTATGTTACAAAGGGTCTGACTACATACATAATGAATTGCACAATTCCTCAAATTCACCTACCCTAAGTAAGAGGAATTATTTATTAAATATTTATTGACAATTAAGAAAATGCAGTAGCACTAACTAATTTTTCTTCAATCTGAATCTCAAGCACTGGCTTGTTTCTACTAACAGGGTGGGTTTGCTGAATCAACTTGACACTTGAGCACTTCACCAAATGCTCCAATAGAAGTTCTTTAGCTTTAAAAGAGCCTTTGCAGCCTGGACAAAAGTGACCTGTTTGCTTTCTCAAGACCATCTTTGATTCCATCTTTTTCTTCTTAAAATAGTTTTATTCAGATCAGCAGAGAAGCAGAAATCAGTTGTTTGTAAGCTGTTGGAAACTAACTACTAGCTAGGCTGTGGTGGTCACTTCATTCGTGGTAGGCAGGCACCGACCACTTAATACTTTATTGCCCTTCCTTTTCTTGTGATGGGCGAAGGTTACTAACTACTCTTCGCTTCAATTCTCGTAGCGTTGATTCTGAGATGTCGAACCCGGAACGTCTATTATAAAAAAGAGAGACATTGCATATATAAAAATTCAGGTTCAAAGAAGAAATTAAATTCATTTCTTAGAAAAAACTCGACTAGAAATTTTAAAACCGAACGTAAACAAAATTAATTCATCTGCTTCACATTTAAAATTATGAATTAATTCAACTTTTCGTTCTTTTTTGTTGTACCGCCGAAACTATCATAAAATAACCTTACAGGTTTAATTTGCGCCGCGAGGTTCGACGCAATATCGAAATCCAGCCTAATAAAAATATTTCTAACTATCCTAATTAAATTTTTTTAAACAAATAAATGGAGCCAAATGAAAAAATAATTTTCAACTCACGATAAAAAGCTTCGCTTTTACACAATTTGTTTTATTTAATTTAACGTTTAATCGCGAACAACTAAACCAAAGACACCGGATAATTAAGACAACCAGGCATCGCACGCAACCGGAACTAACCAACGATACTAATCATAAATTCTAAGTGTATGAGTGTTTTTTAAATTTTTGTGTCTCAATAAATCAAAAATGGCTAAAAATATGATTTCTTTTAACACGAATCGTACAAATTTATCTTAAAGAATTAGCTTGGAGTGACACACACACACACACACACACACACACACACACACACACACACACACACACACACACACACACACACACACATTGCAATTGCAGGTATATTTTTTTAGTTTTTTTAGTCATGACACATTAGGTTTGCTAGTTTTGTTTTGAAACGTATGGTTTGTAGATCAAAATGTTTATCTAATTCCAAGAAAATATACGTGTAAATAAATTGAATGGATAATTTATTAAAACAAACAAGAACATAATTCATTAAATCAGTACTTGAAAAATATACCCTGGTTGATTAGTTATATTGCCTTTTCTCTTAAGACCAAAATCGGCCCCCTGTTTATACGGTTTTAAATGCCACTGAGACTAATCGCTTCAATTTTTATAAGTTGATCCTCTCATTTACTTCGTCTACGTAAAACTTCTTCGACATTCAGAGGAAACTGCATGACGGAAACTACGTATTTGGATGGATGCGAGATAAACAGCGCATCACACGCAAAGCATTTGATAGTGGGGGCTCTTTGTGATGCAATCCAACCCAGAGACCGCCATGTTTGGCCAAGCCAGACGCATTAACCCAAATAAACTTTATTGATAATTATTTATAAATTTGTGTTTTACTTATTAGTTAATTAATTAGTTAGTTAGATATTTAATAGATTTTTTGCTATATACTATAGTTCTTTTATCAACATTCTATAATTAGTGAAATGTATTCTATAATTAGTGAAATGTATCTCTTCAACTTCCACACCAAGAGAACAAGCTTTTTCAAAATCTGGAGAACTGATAAGCCTAAAAAGAAATAGAGTGCGAGATAGTTCAATTGAAGGGTTTGTCTGTTTAAATGATTGGATAGAATTACTTGGCAAATAAAACTTGTTTATATGTTCTATTTTAATTAAATTTTGAATAAAATATTTTTTAAACTCGTTCGCTTTATTTCTTTGATATCGATATTGGGTAGATTCGTATATAAAATTTTAATATAAAAGCGCTTATAAATCTACGCATATTGGCTCAGCTTGGCTTGGCTTGGCTCAGCTTGGAATTGGATGTTAAGCAAGGTGTGGTTTCAAACTATTTTGAATTCTCCCCAAAAAATTTGAACAGCGTAGAACTGATAACTGTTGCTTTTATATTGAATTCATATAATATATATAAATTATTAAGATTATATGTTTATATAAAAAGCAATATAGCAGATTCAACCAGCCTACCAGAAAGTTTCGAATGCGTTCGTTCGTTGACGTCAATTTAGTGCGGTTAGCATTAGCATTGTTGTTAAGCCCGCATAATAGTGTTGTACACACATTAAATATGTTTTTGCCTCGCTTTAGGCTTGAAGCAGTCTGCCTGATCTCCTTTATTTTATTTTTTAATTTTTATTTATTTTATTATATGGAGTTATATAGAGTTGCGCGGCTATATATGTTTGTATGTGGTTTGTATGTTTGTATTTTGTTTTGTTTTTTTATTTTAGGTAGGTTCTTTAGCGGTTGCTCATGCATACATACATACATACATCATGTTTGTTTGCATGATAGCATTTTATGTTCTGTTCTACTCCTTTTTCTCATTCTTCATGAGTCTTAAGTTAAGTTAATAAAACATAAGTAGGTGAGATTAAAAATTAATTTATTGTATAGGTAGGCTAGGGCACAAGGTAATTTAGTTATATAGGTAGGTTTAGGGACTTCTATTCTTGATTGGTTGTGTGATTTTTGTTATGTTTCACACCAAACATTCAGCAGGCATGCGGTGGTTCCTGGTTTTAGTTGGTTTTTTATTGATTGAATGTGGTAGTTTGCATGGTTATATAGAGTTACATAGAGTTATATAGAGTTATATAGAGTTAACGTTAGATTGAGGCTATATTTAGGTTTTTCCAGGTTCATTCATACAGGTTGAAGTTTCCAGAGGAATTCATCGTGGAAGATTAGAATCGTTGTGATGTCCGCTACGTTCGTTCATTCAGCCTGGCTGGGTAACTTTTTATTGTTTATTTGCGGTTCCTTTTTGGCCTGTTGGCTGGCTTTTTCGGCTGGCGGGTTTCAGCGCGGCTTGTTTTTTAATTTCATTTAAGTTAATTAAATAAATAAGATTTTTTCATTTCATTCGTTTCATTCAGGTTGAAGCTTCCAGAGGAGTTCATCATGGAAGATGTCAGGCTACGTTCGCTCATCCAGTGGCAAAGAATGCACGCCTGACTGGGATACGTTTTATTCTTTTTTCTCTGTAATTTAGCATTAAGTAGGAATGCTCATACGCACACACACGCACACACAATTACATTAAGTAGCTATATAGGTAGGTTAGATAGGCATAATTTTAATTGTAGGTAGGATAGATAGGAAGCATCCAACATGTAGTTGAATAGGTAGGCGCGTAAGTTTTTTTTCTTGCACCCACATTACACGCATCAGCGTATTACACACACTCACATAAATACATACATAAACACATATATTAGTATTTGAGCGTAATTTGATTTTCATTACACATTCTAATTTATTATTACTAAGGTTGAGAGTGATTTAATTTCATAGGCAGTTAGGGGCAATTATGTATTTCTAGGAAAAATCTTGTAATGTAAATTAAAACGCTGTAAGTGTATCGATAGGTAGGTTAATTGTTAAGTTTTACATTATCATTATTATGTTTGAGCCCAAGGCATTACGTAGGTGGTGGGTTGGGTGCCGAATGGCCAATGAATTGGGCTCTTGAGTGTTGTAATTTTAGGTAGGCTAGGGCTTAATTGTAATGAATAGGTAAGTTGAGGGTACGATAGCCGATAGACTCTGAATTTCAAAGTCTGTTGTCAGAGGTAAGCCTTGGTGGCCAGTAGTGAACCAGCAATGGTTTACTATCCGGACGGCAATGGTTTACTATCTGCACGGTAATGATTTACTATGCGGCATGGCCATAGTCTACTACCCGCACGGCTTCCGGACGGCAAATGGTTTACTATCCGCACGGTAATGGTTTACTATCCGGTGCCCTGGCTGTCGGTGAACCTCTGTGCGGACAGGTTTATTTTTTTGAAGTAAATTTGTGGAATTCATGTTATAATATGTAAAGAACATCATGGGGAAAATAAATATTAACGTTGGTATTTGTTTATTTTTGAAAATGTGTAACACAAAGTAAGTGAAACTCGCAAGCTGACAGACGTGTGAATTTAAATGGAACTGTGATTAGGTGATCTTTTGTTTACATAGATAACATCATCGTTTATATAAATAATAATAATAATAATAACCGTGATTAATTGTTAACTATTAATAATTGTAATAAATTGTTTACATTTTCAATGATAATGAACCAAAATTTAATTTTATTTTCTATAATATATTTGATTCGCTACTTGTTCCGCCGAAATACAGGTATGTTTTTATTATCATTCCATATAAATAATAAATAATAATAATAATTATAATAAAAATTATTACTATTATTACTACCTTTAATTTAATACTATATGTCTTACCTAGTATTTCTGATTAGTAAGTTTGTTAGCAGTATATAGTGTTGTAGTATTATTTGACGCCATTGTAGGTATTCGTATCATAATACAGGTTAGTTTGGTGATGTCTGTTAACGCCAATTTTTGAAGCTAAAAACGGTAATAAATTAATTGTCTAACTGACCGGTAATGATGCTTAGAAATGACAATTAAAGAGCCTCACGAAAGTGTGCTCTACACTGATTTTAACACATGATAAAAATGAAATTTAGAATGTCAATAAACATCGCTAAAGTTTAAATATCTTTTATCAAAAAATGGAGGAATTTAATTTTACGAATTCTTATCAACAGTTGCATATGAGAGCTACATTGGTTGTTACAGCAGAGTTGTACCGACCAACGCCCTATTCGTTAAATCGTACGTAGAATGCAAGAGGTTCTGCATGCGCGACAAGAAATCACACCTGATCGCTTTCAGAGTTTAGTTTAATTTTTTTTTCTAAAAAGGCTGAATTGTTTTGCAGTCTTTGTAATAATTTGCTCCGACTTCCCTATTCAACGAAATTGCTTAAAAAATCGATCAAAAAAACTCATCAAGTTAATTAATTATTTTACAAGAACCTCTTCTATTTCTAATTATGAAGCAATTTTAATTTATAAAAATTCGTGATTGGGATGGAAGTATTGATAGGATCTACACATGA